ACACTCCGAGCCTCAGTTTCCTCCTGAGTGTCTGGTCCCCGCCTGAGGGGCAGGAAGGGTGCTTGACTGTCGGTGGCCGTGGAAATGCTTTGGGCAAAGCGAGAAAGCTGTAGACCCCAGAGGTGTTGCCAGTGTCAGGGGGGCACCTGGTGGGGACGGGCCACTCGGGAGGGAGAGGTGCAGGAGGACCCTGGCTGGCCCAGGGGCAGTGAGCCAGGTGGAGAACAGATTCCATGTTCATGAGTTCTAGAAAACTTGTGTTGGCCACTGGTGCCGTGTGCCGTGGAGACGCCGGAGTGGGCAGGACCGAGGACCTGTCTTCAGGAGGCTTCTCACACTCCGGACACCCCAGTTCCAGGGCGAGGCCTGGGCAGCGGAACCCGGGGAAGCCCAGAGTCCGGCTCACCCAGCCCTTAGGGAGGGCCAGTCAGAAAGGAGAGCTTCCTGGGGTAGGTGGCCTCTCAGGAGCCTGGGGAGGAGAAGGAGGGCTGCCAGGCGCAAGGAGTGACATGGTCAGGGGCCAGGTGCCAGAGCCAGCCTGTCCCTTGTGGGGAACCGAACTCATGAACACCAGGAATGGGGAGGGGGCGGGGAGGGATGAGCCTGGAGGACGGAGCCAAAGAGTTTGAACTTGGTCTGAAGGAGCCATAGAGAGATTTAAAGCACAGAGCGAGACAGTGGGTTTGTTCTTGGAAAAGCAGTGGTGTTGCAGGGGGGTTAGACCTAGGCCAGGTCAGTGAGGAAAGTGGGCAGTGGTGGTGGTGGTGGGGGGTGGGGCGCGCAGACCATAACCAGCACCGGGCAGGGCAAGTGCCTTGTGGAGGAGGGGAAGGTGGGGATCTACATGTCAGTGTTTGGCCCGAAGGCTGGTGAACAGGGGATGCAGACTCTGGAGGGGAAGGGTGGTGATTTGGGTGCCTGGGTGGTGATTTGGGACAAAGGAGGCAAAGATGTTGGCTCTTGGAGCAGCGAGCCGCTGCCGCAGAGCTGCAGGCTGAAGAGAGCTGAGTGGGATCTCGGCGGCGGGCAAACCCCTCTCTCTGAAATAGTCTCCAGGTGGAAGCATTGCTGGATTTGCCCGTGACCCTCCCCTCTCCGCTTCCCTCCTGCCTACCGTATTTCCTGTAGTTGTTCACTCCTCTTGCCTGTATTTCTTCATTCATTCATTTGTAAGATTTCTACAGGGTCTGTCCCAAGCTAACTCTAACCCCCAATGATTAGGGTCATTTCAGGGTGGCGCGGTCTCCTTCAGTGCTTGGGGCTTACCTCTGCTTCCTACTCCCAGCTGTGGCTGGGCCAACCACCTGTAAGTGAGGCAGGAAATAGCCCAGCATCTCTCTTGAGACACTGGGTCTTCCAGCCCCTGGGGAGCCCACTCCCTGCTTAGTGCCTTACTTTCGGCCCAGCCTTGTCTCCGTGTCCTGGTCTGGCTCCCTACCTGGCTTGTCTCTGTGTCTCATGCTCCCTCTGGCACTGCCTCCTCCAGCGGCTCCACCCAGCATCAGCCCCTCCCTTGATGCCTGTGGTCCCTGGGGGCTCAGCATCTGGGGCCTATGGACTTTCCCACAGGTAAACACTGTGAGCCCCCCCCCACCCCCTGCCAGTCCTCTGAGGGTCTCCTGGGTGCTCCCTGGGTGCCCCATCTCTTGTCAGAAGAGGGGAGCTTGTGGACCAGGCTGGGTGCTCTCCAGGGTGCTGCGGTGTGGGCCCACGGCCAGCCTTTAGTGCACTGCTCTCCCACATCTGTTCCCTCGCCCTCTCCTTGCACAAACATTGATGGGGTGCCCACATAGTCCAGACACAGCGCTGGGCACTGGGAACACCCCTGCCCTTGAACAGTCACAGGACTGGGGCTGAGGCAGCCTGATGGGTCTGGAAGTCAGGTTAACCCAAACCCGGGTTATCGCGTTTTTGAACTTGTGTGAGCCTCAATTTCCTCATCTGCCAAGATAGATGATAACTTCTGCCTCTCCGGGCTACACAGACAGGCGCTGGGGTGTGGGCCCACCTCCCTAGACGCGGCCTCCTACAGTCCCAAAGGGGAGCTCAGTTGAAATCCTTTGACTGCTGGTTTGCCCACCTTGAGTCCACTCCCCACCCCAAACTGGAGTCCATGTAATGGGCCCAGTCCGTGGACACTGGCCACACCCGTGATGGGTGAGGGGTCTGCCACTTCTGGGGGCCAAGGGTTTTGTAGCCTCTGCTTAGCCAAGCACATCTGGAAAAAAACGGGAGACTTCTTGACTTGACCAAGTTGAACACTCAGGGGACCTGTGCCCCTTTTTTGCCACGAGCTAAACATTTATCAGACACCTGCTACGTGCCGGACACTTTGCTGCAGGCTGTCCCAGCAGCTGTCTCATTTGGTCCTCACATCTCCCCTTGCAGGGGGTTGGTGAGTGTCATCTCTAGGTTATAGAGGAGGAAACAGACTCAGAGCAGCCATGTGTGTTGCCCAAGGACACATGTTGGTTGCTCACATGAAACCTCTGTCGGGTTTGCCGTAGGGTCCAGTGAAAGCTCTTACACGGTCCCTCGAGGACCAAGCACCTTGGGCGTGGTGAGGCGAATTCGACAGAAACACATTGTGCTTTGGGCGCAAGTCACTCTCCTCTTCAAGCTCCTCAGACGACCTGCCACCTCCAGCACAGAAGGGTTAAGGTGAAACGGAGAGTTTCTTAAGTCCCATGGTTGGGAATAGAGCCCAGGTCTTCAAGACTTTCCTTAGACCAACAATTAGCTTTATAAATAGAAAGCCAGTCGGAACTTCTTGATCAAATCTTCTCTCTCTGTGGATGTTAACCTTCCCGTCCACTCCAGCCTTAGGAGGGAGGCTGGAAAAGGTGACCCGAGCTCTGGCCTGGGTTCTGGGAAGACTGGAGGTGATCTGAGATGGGGATGTATCTGGCCTTGGGGGTGGGAGTGGGGGAAGGGGCCTGGGGCACGGGAGGGGGGACAGAGTGATTCTGCAAATCTCAGGCCATAGATTTTTCAGTGCTCACCAATTCTGAATTTTTAATGCTGAAAGTTCCTTGATTATGCATAAACCCACAACTTCCTGATCCAAACCACACATGCATTTAGCAAAGCCTCTTAAAAACTTAAAAATTACCAAACTCTACATTGGATAGTTTTGAACAGTCAAGATTATGCTCGCCAGGTTGTGGCCCCGACAGCTCAGAGACTCCGCTGGGAGGCTCTTGGGGGCTGTGGGTGTGCGGGTGATGGGAGATTTGTTGGGGCTTGGAAGCCAGCTTGTTTTTCAGTTGTTCCTCTAACATTAGGTGAAGTCATATACATTCATAAACATAAATAAACTGCACCCCAATAAAGGCCATTGCACTGCAGGAAGGATTGCTGAGTTAGACATTTGTTTATGGCTTGAATTGAATCCTCCAAAGAGATATGTTGAAGTCCTCATCCCCCAGAACCTCAGAATATGACTTCATTTGGAAATATGGGCATTGCAGGTATTAGTTAAGATGTGGGCATACAGGGGTAGGGTGGTCTCCTAATCCAATGTGACTGGTGTCCTTATAAGAAGACAGTCACATGAAGACGAAGATCCCATTGGAGACGGCCATGTGACAATGAAGGCAGAGATGGGAGTGATCCATCTGCGAGCCAAGGAACCCCTGAGATCACCAGCACACCACCAGAAGCTGGAAAGAGCCACCAGGTTTCAGAGGGAGCACGGCGCTGCTGACACCTTGACTATGGGCTTCTGGCCTCCAGAACTGAGCGACAATACATTCCTGGTGTTTTAAGCCACCTAGTGTGTGGTACTTTGTCACATCAGCCGTGGGAAATGAGTACAACGTTGTCTTGGATTGTCCAGCAGAACCATCCTGTGCGAGGCAG